ATCAGGGACGCCGGAACTGGGGGGCAGGGGGGGGGGTGGCGGCTGCCCCCCTTGCCTTTTGCTAGGGGGGCCAGGGGGGGCAGAAGTGCCCTTTTAGTTGTAAAATAATACGTGATAAATCACATTTCCAACGATGCTTTTTGTAGGAAAATCACGAGATTCAGGTAATTTATAGTTTATATTTATAAAATTTTGGGAAATTTTTGGAATTTAGAAAAATATTTTGAAGAAATGGCGAAAATTTAAGATATCCGGAAAAATTTTTGGCTTCACGGAAAATTTTTGTATGTCCGGAAAATTTTTTTGACCCCTAAAATGGTACACTGACCGAAATTTTTTTGGCGACGGGGGGGGGGGGGGAGGTCGCCAAAAAATTTTGCAGTGAAAAAAAAAATTTCAGTAAAGGTGCTCTTGGTGTGCGTCCGCCCCCCTTTGCCCTATTATCGTTCCGGCGTCCCTGAGTAAGATTAAACGCATATAACATAAAGTCAATAGTAAATAGTTTGTGCCTGAAAGCGCATGTTACGTTGTTGTACGATGTACTTATATTACAACATGGATATTACTAGGCTAAATAAAGAAAGAAACAGCAACACAAATAAAGCAGGTTGCATGGATAAAGTACCACTAGTTGGCCGAACCGTTGTTCCTTTGCTATCCGGTAGAACAGTCGTTCTGTTGCTATCGACATCACAAACAGGACCTGGACTATTTATAGCTGTACAGCAAAACTGGGACGTCTCGAGATCTGAAAATTTCTTGTCAGCCAGGTTGGTAGGAGACGCACATGTCATATTCTTGAGAAGCTGGTCGCCACCGTGCTGCGTTTTAAAATGCGAAAGCGAAAACTCATGAAACCATCCCAGATGGCAATCACATTTGAATGGATTCTTTTGGATTTCAAAAGATTTCAAGTCCGTAAATGCAGTAAATGGATTTTCTTCGATCGCGGATATGTTGTTATAATATAAACGCAGGAGGGTGATATTTGATAGGCCTTTAAAAGCGTCCTTTGGAACATGTGTGATTTCATTGAATCCGAGATCTAACCTTCTAAGTGAAGTCATTTGAAGTAGAAAGCTGTCATTTCCAAATACTTTATCTGTAGTTAAGCCACAATAGTTACAAATGAAAGTATTTATTTGTCCCCCTCTCATGGCATCTGAATCGATTTTCACAATACTGTTACCACGTAAATTGACATAACTGACTTTTGTTCCGTTCAGGAAATCTGTATGCACATATTGTATATTGCAGTGCATTAATCCGATAGTCACTAAACTTGGTAGCCCACTAAACTGTCCTCTTGCCAAGCGAGGAAAATTTGAGAAACCAAGGTACAACTCCGTAATGGTTTTAGTCACACGGCCACTACCAATGGCATCCAATGCAGTTTAGTTGAGTTTGGAGTATCGGAGAAACAATGTTCTCAGCAAACTGTTTTCAAACATGCCATCTGGTAATACTTCAAAAGGATTTTTACCCAAGTAAACTTCAGTTAATTTGGAGATGTTCGCAAAGACGCCAGGCGTGATTGATACAAGTTTGTTGTCATACAAAGCAACTATAGTCAAATTCAAAAGTTGCTGAAAGGTCCCTTCCTGTATGTAACTCAAGTTCCCTTGGGACATACGTAGATATACCAACGCAGGGAGGCCTACAAAGTCTTCTTTCGTAAGGTTCTTAATGTTGCTTTTCTGAATCGATAACCGTTTTGTATCATTCTTGAACGCGCCTCGAGGGAAATCAGTTGTCGTTGTCATATTTTCGCACTTCACATATTTCAATTTGGGGAAACACTCGCAATTTTCTGGATATGAATTCGGACATGATTCTTGCCCTTTGACCGAAAGAAATATCAGTGAACAGACAAATATACACGTTGTATGAAACATAGCTTCTTTTGACTTACTCCTTGTCGATAAACGTGTTCGAATGGCAATAGACAAATGCTATATTGTGGCCCGTTTATACTATACAGGATATTACTTTTCATACCGGATTAATTTTCAATCTGAAATCAAAAACAAAGGTGTTTACGGGTAAGGATAAAACGCGGATACGGACGGACGGACGGACGGATCGCGGACGGACGGACGGATGGCGGACGGACGGACGGACGGATGGCGGACGGACGGACGGAGGGACGGGGGGGGACAAGCGGATGGACGGGGGGGGGATCAAATCCGCGTTTTTTAGGAAATGTAATTAAGACTATTATTAATCGTAATAAATTGTCGAAAAAATGATAATATATTAAATTGTGGAAATGCGGGGTTTTTCGAACCTTTGTAACGCTGAAAATTCTAATTAAATACGTTAGACATCTGCTTAAACTCGGGTCCAATTTC